GAAGGTTTTATTTTGATTAAAGAAACTCTAAATCGTCTTGACTATTCATCCCTTTACGCAAGGGCGTCAAGACCTTTTAGAATAATGCTTTGGTCGAATTAGACAATATGGAGTTCGATATACGAATCCAAGTTGTACGGTATTTCTTTCCTTTTATAAATCCTTGCTATTTCGAAATTTCACCTCCTATCATTCTAACAGAGCTAATTTTGAACAGGATGAGCCTCTCCTGGTCACAATTAGAGATTTTCTGACTCTGGCACGTAATCAAAGTCAGGAGCCGCAGCATGGTGTAGATCAGTGGCATCCTCCATCAGTCGATGATGAAACTTCAGACGCTGTCAACAGTAATGTATTGAGTTACGTGGCAGGTTTCGTCATTCATAATATTTCTCCGGAACAATATGATTGTGAAATTTGCCTTCGTAATCTAATACATTCTGGAGAGCTAGATAAACTTCATCATCGACAAGTGGTTTTGCGAAAATATAATCATAAAAAACGGCATTTGCAGTATGTAAATATTAATGTAATTCTTGTATTTGTTTGTAATATTTTAAAATATGTGTTACGCACATACTATTTATATTAATAAAAAATTTTATTTTTGCAACACTAATATCTTATTTGTTTCTATGGTGTATTTAAGCTTACCTTTTATGTTGCCGTTAAAATACGCTTCAACTATAAAGTACGTCGTCAATAGCAACGTATCTTGTGAGTCTATAAAATACGCTGATGCATATTTTTTGTCAATTTTGACATAATAATTATAATAATTTCTGAATTTAGTAAAATTTCTGATTTAATATTAGTGTTGCAAAAAATCTTGAAGACAACACGAGTTTTATAGTTTCAAAATCTCAGCTTATTAAATTTTCGCCCCCTCTGGTCGCTCGAATTTAAATTACGACCTCGATTTTTAAGCTGTCTATAAAACTCTAGTTGTTTTAGTAGCTATTTAGTTACAATTGTAATTTTTTTATATCATTGGTCTCATATTGGGTTTTGCGAAAATATTGGACCAATTTCACAAACATGAGAAAAAAAATATTTAAAAAAAAATAAAAAATAAAAATAATAAAATAAAAATAATAAATATATTTCTTGTATGAAATGTTAAACGAAATCAGTATGAAACTGGTCCATAAAAGATTATAAGACAATTTCTTGAGGGAACTATTATCATAGAAATATCTTTTCAATTCATTGTTGCATTTGTACAGAAAAACTGAACTAAGCTATATATATTAGTAAAAACCTCTCGAAATAGGCCTTAGCTTACAAATTTAAACACACTTCTTCTTGTTATAAAGCTCCAATATGATATGTATTATTATTTAGAATGAAAACTTTGCTAACAATTGTACTTCAAAAGTATTTAAAAAATAATGTAACTACTCGAAACTTCGAGAGTTATTATAGTTATTAACGTTATAAGGCCGATATGTACCAAATAACAGATGAGATTAAATTTTGTAAAGTGAGGTGAAACCAAGGTTTATACTCAACCAAATCGGTTATCTGGTATCGACTGTGTGTCGTTCAAGACTTTTCGTAATCCCATCTCTGACTCAGAGAAAAACAACAAAAAAAAGTGAAACAAAGTTTTGTTACAAGTTACAAATCGTTTTTTTTTTAATTTAATATTCCAAGTGTATTTTTATTTTTATTTTATTGATAATTATATACCAGGTGAATAAAAAGTATGGAACGAAGCGTGTTTCTCGTAAACTAACCACTTTACAAAAAAAAATAATTAGTGTAGCGTAAAGTCCAATTAAAATGTGACCATTTATCAAGAATAACATTTTTCGAATTTTTTTTTAGTTTTCTAGTTCTGAAAAAATTTTTTTTTTAAATGGCAACCCACTATGGTAATTTTTTTAATTAAAGATTATGATCTAAAAATGACCTCTAATTAAACAGAATTGTTTTCTAGTCAGTACTTTTTTTTAATAAATTGTTAAATTTGCGTTCCAAGCCCATCACGAAGATTTTCCGAACTTGAACGAGGGAGTCGTTTCATGACTATGGTCGTTGGAGAGCCCGGTTTTGGTGCAGGTGCTTTGGGGTGGTTCCGGATTGATGAAAAAATGTAAAAACAAATCATTTTCTTCTATTTTTAGTCCATTCGAAACCACCCTAAAGCACCTGCATAGAAATCAGCGCTCTCCCATGATGAAAAGCATGAAACAACCACTTCGGTTAAGTTCGGAAAATCTTCGTGATGAGCTCGGAATGCAACTTTAACAATTAATTTAAAAAAAGTACTGGTTAAAAAACAATTTTATTTAATTAAAGGTCATTTTTAGATCATAATCTTTAATTAAAAAAATTATCATGGTGGGTTGCCATTTAAAAAAAAAAATTTTTCTAAAACCCGAAAACTAAAAGAAATTTCGAAAAATGTTATTCTTGATAAATGGTCACATTTTAATTGGACTTTACGCTACACTAATTATTTTTTTGTAAAGTGGTTAGTTTACGAGAAAAACGCTTCGTTCCATACTTTTTATTCACCTGGTATATTATATTGTTAACTTTATACATAAAATATAAAGTTGATTAACTATTTTTGCATTTTTTTGTGCAAACTCTTTCTTCTAATGTGTTTTAGAATGTAGAATTTAGAATGTAGGACGCATTACTACTTTTTATTTTGTTTTTTTTTCCAGTTTGCTATATAAAACAATACTTAACAATATAAAATATTACCTCGCAGTATAAGGCATTACTTTACATTACAGCACAATCTGTACAATGCTACAACAATATACACAATAGTTACAATATTTTACAGCACACAATGCCTGTATTGTGGCAATACTTGTACAAAAAAGAGGTAGTGGAAGACCCCTCGTATTTGTGTTTACCAGTACCGAAAAAAGAATAAATTAAAAGCCATATCAAAGAAGCTAATGCAGTATAAAACGCTGAACTCCAAATTCGTTACCAGGCATCTAGTGAGTCCATATGCCATTGCAATTGTGCACTCCCGAAATCCTTGCCCATGTACAAAAGGTAAGGATTTTGATAAGACCACATTAACACCTAAAATGTGGCCAACTGTAAAAGGGTAAGCTTGATTTTACATTGTTATGATAAAATGCATTGTTTTATTTTCAGATCGAATAAGTGTGCAAGTTTGTAAGATTATTTTACACAAATATAGGTAATTATTTTTGTTAATCGTTTATTTTTCAAAAATTACATAACGCACATGGCCGTCAACAGTGTCATAACTAAGAAAATAGTAGGTTGTGCCAGTGTTAGTGTCAAAGTGACGTTATGACATTGTTAGAAGGCATTATTTACTTTTTACTGTGATAATTGTTATAAATTGTTATAAAAAAGTGCAGTTTCAGTTTACATTTATGGCTAATAAGCCTACAATGCCTACAGGAGAGTATTGATGATACCAATACCAATGATAAAATTGAAGCTGTGAAAAATTTTCTGACTCCCTCCAATTCATCTCAACTTCGTCAGTTGTTGGGTCTCTTTTCTCATTTTCGCAAATTTATTCCTAAATACGCTCTTAAAACCAAACCTTGACTCAAAAAAGCGATCACGCCGAATGGTGCCGACCTACCCTCAAACAGTTTGCGCACGGGACATCTAAGTTAGTCTATAACATTGTAACAGGTGATAAAAGTTGGATATATTCCTATGATCCCAAAAAAAGCAGCAGTCAACAGTATGGGTATTTCAAAATGAAAATGCACAAACAAAAGTGATCAGCAAAAAAGTTGTAACAAGAAAATGGTTGCTTCTTTTTTCAGAGTTACAGGACATATTGCAATTGTGACACGGGAGGATAGTAAAACAGTCAATGCTGAATGGTCTAGTACCATTTTTGGCCTACGGTCATCCAGAAAGTACGAGAAAAACGACCGAGAGGAAAAATCATCTTGCATCAAGACAATGCTTTGTCACACATCGCTTCAAAAACTATTGAACTTTTAAACCAGGAGAAGATTAAGTTAATAGGTCATCCTCCATACAGTCCAGACCTGGCACCAAATGCCTTTTTATGTGCCCTCAGGTCAAGGAAAAACTACGGAGAATGCGATTTACCACGACGGATGAAGCTGTAGTAGTAGTATTAGCTTTCCGAAATGAGGTAAATAACATGCCTCCAAACATTTGGAAAAAATGTTTTGAAAATTGGTTCCTACGGATGCAAAAGTGTATTCAGTGTGGTGGTGAATATTTAGAAAAGTTATAATAAAGTTTGGTTTATAAATATATAGTGTTTTTCTATATTAGGCTTAACGCTTTAATAATTTTACAGACTACTTTGTACATGGCACGACGATCGGGCTTGGCGTCAAAATTTACCCAAAATATAAACAAAGAAACCACCGTTGCAAAATTCTTTATTTTTCATGTTTACTAATAGCCCAGTCAAATTAGACAAAAATAGGGCGATCGGTGGAAAAAAAATCCTAGAAAGTTGGAATTTTTTTAAACGCTTTCTTTAAACTTGGGTAGACATATATCAAAAGTCCCCGCGGGTGAGGGTGGGGCTCGAGGAGGGGGAGGGGGTTAAAGGTGTCTTTTTTTACTTCTTTGCTTATATCTTGGAAACGATCCATAGGCTTAGATACTCTGTAAAGCTAAATAACTACCTATGTTGTGTATGGGATACAGCTATAGTAGTCTCGTTCTTTGCAAGGGCTATGTTTATGGATAAATGTCAAATATGGATTTTTATAAAATGTCGTCTTAGTGCACTTCTGCACCCTTAAAATTTTAATTTTTCATGTTTCTAATTTTGTTTTTAAGCGTTTACACCCTACTTTATTTCATCAAAATTTTAACAGTGCACTTCTACACCCTCTAAAGATCATATTTTCCAAATTTTATGTTTCTATATTCCTTTAAATGTGTACACCGTTCCATTCCTTTAAAAACAAATTTTAGAAAAATCTTATTTTAGTGCCTTTTTACACCTCTAAGGAATTTTATATTTATATCTTCGTTTAAACGTTTACCCCCATTTCACCCCCTTAGAGATTGATTCTCTCTTTTGTCCAAAATTTTTATTTATAAGTGTTCAAAATACTTATATAAATTTATAAATGTTCAATAGCGGTGTACAGTGAAAAAATAAAGTATTTATTTAGTAGACCATATGGCGTGAAACTGTAGTGCTACAAGGACATAGGTGAGTACCGTTCCTGAAATCTGAAAACGGAGTTTAGATTATTTGTTAAATAATCTGTATAAAAGGTTTTACCGATGCAAGTAGTCCTGTACCAATAGTGAATATGTCGGAAATCTTGATTTCCGGTTTCTGTAAAGTCAAAGTAGCAATAAGCATCTCCACTTGTGCTGATTCCAGTTTACTTAATTTGCTGATTGGACATTTAAAAAGAAATGATAATATATCTTGACTCTGAAAAATGTAATTATTTTTATTTAATCATTTTGGTTTACACACCATTACTGATACTTTTTGGGCTTGATAACAAAGAAAACTAAAAGCAACATCAAGGGCTGAAGATTTGAGAATAAGATAAATATCAAATTTCAACCAAACTGCCTCTCCTTCGACAAACATTACAGAAAAATAAACGTAACCAATAAGCAGCAAGCAAATGTTAACACAGTGAATGATTATAATTCCGGGTTGAAGGAAATTTTCGTTTAGTTTAAAATTGCGTCTTAAGGACATATAAAGGCGTTGGAGTTTTTGAATTTGTTCGAAATGAGTCAATCCGGAAATTACGTTTTGTTGATTATTTCCAATTACCGTAAAATAATTTTCAGGTAAGTCGTTCAAAAATTTCTCAATTTCGTTAAAACATTGGTCAAAGATGTACTCATACATTAATAAAAATTGTATACAGTATAGTCCAAGAGAAGCATTTGAAAGAATAAAAATTTCAATCGTAACCATTCGAACCAAGAATTCGTTACTGACATTTTCCATCGTTAGTTCAACACAAAACATTATGATTTCTTCAATCGTTAGTCCCACAACCATGATCATAAGCATGTTTCGAAGTTGCTTTGCTTTTTGACTGGTTAAGATGACGTCAATTCCGTATTTTATTTTATTGTTTATTAAGACTATTAGTCCATGTGATTCTCGCAGTTTTATCCAATTTTTTAGCAAGAAAATAGTATTGATTATTATTGTTGAAAAAGTGTAACTCATTTCTATAAAAATGACCACTTGTTTAGTGGTAAAACTTCCTTCAAGTCGGTTGAAATCATTAATTACTCCATAAATAAGGATAATACTGCAAAGAATGGTTACAGATTTTTGAAGTTTTGAGGATTGAAAATGGGGTCTTGATTGCGGTGTCGTGTGGTAACAGTAGAATCTAGCTTGGTAGATGTTTACTTGATTCATATACAACACTGGACGTGTTGCACAAATAATACAGTCGCTTGGTACAGATTTTGGATTTTTTTGTTTCAAACTAATTTTTCTAGACATTTTTCTGAATGATTCATCCAAAATTAGACTATGGTGTTGAGCGATGAGAAAATAATAATGGAGTAGAAAGTGTAATTCGAGGTGTAATTAGACAGGTAAACAACAAATATTATACAAATAGTTACAATATTTATGGTGTTCGACATGTAATCAGAAAGAGATTAGAAATAATCTGTTTTACCACAATGCTTTTGTCATTTGTTCTTACAATTAATTAGCGATTTAATTGGAAATGAATTTATTACGAAAATAAAAAAAACTTTTTCGTAACACCATGACGTTGTAATGGAACTAAACCGGCAAATGGAATGGTGGTTTTCCAAATGTAATAGCACATTACAAACGAGGTGGCAAATATGGCATTACCCCAAGTGCTTATGTATACGATCGAGAGGTGCCAGCCTCGCGACCGGATAAAGCACAAGGGGTAATTTTTAATTTAATTTCGCTCGATTTTAATACAGAATTATAAAATAATTTGTGATATTTTCAATCGTTTTGGCTCAATTTGAAGGCGGGTATCAACCTACATCAAAGTATTTCAACCAAATACTGGCTTGAATAAGAGTTTTCTTCCAAAATAAAGCAATTTGAGCTATTTTCAATTTAATTTTTCTTGATTTTAATACAGAATTAATTTAAAATTAATTTATTTGATAAAAATAATTGCTTCAATGTCAATTTAAGGCTAAAATAAAGCAATTTGTGATATTTTCAATCGATTTGGCTCAATTTTAAGCCGGGAATCAACCTGAATCAAAGTATTTCAATCATGGACCTAGTAATAGTCTATGATTTCAACCCAATACTGAGTTTTCTTCCTAATTTTAAGCAATTTTAGCTAGTTCAAACCAATTTTGCTCGATTTTAGTACAGAATTTATTCTAAATTAATGTATGTTATAAAAATAATTTCTTCAATCTTAATTTTAGGCTGAAATAAAGCAATTTGTAAAATTTTGAATCGATTTGGCTCAATTTTAAGTCGGAAATCAACCTGAATCAAAATTTTTCAACAAAATAATAGCTGATTTGATTTTTGACATTTCATAAATGTCAATTTATGAAAATTATTAAACAATGAGTAAATTATTATTACATAATGTATTAAATAATGTGTAAATCTGATATTAAAATTGTTGAAATGGAGTAGGGTACTTCAGAAGTAAGAAAAGCTGCTACAGAAGCAACTGAAATAATTGAATACTAATTTAGCAAAATATTATACATAACTAAACAATTTGAAAGAAAAAATTCCCGGTACTTTTGTAATCTTAACGTTGGCAAACCTGTATACAATCGTCCAAAAGATAAAATTATAATACTGCTCACGGGAATTAATTAATTTAAAAGGTTAGTAATCAACATATTACATTAGTGATTGCGAATAAAACTATGTATTATCCGATTTTTTTTTTAAATTTGAATGCCACACGGCCGATAAGAAATCAAGAGACTTGACATTTATTATCACAAACCTGGACTACTGTCTCGGTTTACAAACTTCAGCTGCCTCTGTTGTTTGCTCTACATATGTGACTAATGACGTTTAAAACAAATATACCGGGTGTCCCAGGCAGGCTTGGATATAGGAGGTTAACATGGGAAATTAGGTTTTTTTTTCGGCTGCAGGAGTAACAGAAATTAAAATCTAGTTAATGAAGCTTGTAGTGCTCGAAAAGGACTATCTTATCGACATTCTTGTCGATTCTCCAATTAACTCCATTTCAGCGAAAACGGCTCTTGAAAAATTGAAATTTGAGTTTGCCGGGTTAACGTTACCAAGAAACGAACTATCAAGGCAAATTGTGAAAAATTCTCCTTTGGCAACAATGACTTGATAGTTCATTTCTTAGTAACGCTAACCCGGCAAATTCAAATTTCGATTTTTCGACGGTCGTTTTCGCCCATATGGAGTTAATTGGAGAATCGACAAAATATCGATAAGGTAGCCCAAACTCCATCAGTCAGATTTTGATTTATGTTACTCCTGCAGCCCGAAAAAATTTAAAACTAATTTTCCATGTTTATTTCCTATATCCAAGCCTGCCTGGAACACCCGGTATACAGAGTGTTTCAGAACAGAAAATTTCAAGTAATATAAGATATCAGGAACACAGAAAAAATGTTTAAAAAATTCTATCTGTAAAAACATATTGTCATAATTTTTTTGACATTTGACATTTTTTTATGTCTATTTAGTGTTATTAATGATCTTATATATGTTTTTTCATAATTACTTAGTAAAGGTATGAAAATTTTGCCAATAAAAGCCACAAAATAACGTTAAACATAGTTACAATTTAGGATAGTTTCCTTGTTTCCTCTTCTAATTATTCTAATTATTGTTTCAACAGAAATAAATAGAGTCACAGTGCAAACTTGAAACTCCCATAATTTCGAAACTTTTATAGATATAATTTTTAACATTTTTTCTATGTTTCTGGTATCTTACCTTACATCGCATTTTTCTTTGGGGCGCAACTTCTGAAACACCCGTATCTCTAACAAAGTAAAAGTACATACATGTAACACCGTAAAACTAAATAATTAAAATTTTCTTACCAGGTCGTTGAGCTCTTGCAATTTAAAAAGTACAATTGTACTTCCAAAAATTCCAACGAAACATAGAACAAATCTAAGCAACTCCTCAATAGTGTAAGGCTTTGACTCTTGAATGTAATTGACAAAGAGGTAGAAGTTTCCTACCAAAATCAGGCATCCACAAAACAAAAACAATATTAAATGTGCTTTAAAAATATGACATATTAAACGAAAATTTAAAAACACACCGTGATGAAAATTCTGAAGTTGTTTGATATTTCTTATCAGACCTATTACATTTTTCTTTGTTAGAATATGTTTCACTTGTAGATAACAATTTCCAAATAAAAGTAAATATATTTCTAAACAAAATAAAACTGATACAAAAAGAGACATATTTATAACAAAAATAATAGAAACTGTTAATGCTTGAAATATAGTGTTTGAATTGAAATTTCGGTGACCCCAAAATATTATTGCTAGTATTACAGCAAATATTATTAAAAAAGGAATGCAAATTTGGTAAAGAATAGAATAGATTTTTGTATGAAATACCTCATCAACAATGTGCTTGTTAAATTGTTCAACTCTATTCTGGATCATACTCAAGATTCCGTTAAAATGTATGATTTGATTTTTTTGAGTCAGTTTTACAWTGATGAGAAAGCAACTAAGTGCAAAAGTATCAAGAACTACTAACAATGAAGTCAGAAATTGATTGAAATTTTTTGTATCAATTGTGAATATCGATAAGAGATGTTTGGCTGTGAAAAACACTGTTATCATAAAAGCACATCGTGATAATAATATAGATTTGTAAAAAGACGGAGAGGCTGAAGGGCTAGAATGATGACAATATGTTTTGACTGCAAATATAAACTGAACTATAAATAAAATAGGATAACTAGCACAAATAAAACAATAAGGGCTGGATTTTAACCAGTTCATTGCTACTTTTATAAGTGTGTATTTTATAAATGAAATATAGCAACATTATCATGATTCAAATGACCACCAGTTATTACTTATCAGATTATTTGTATGGATGTAGAAGTACAGTCGCCGTCAAAATTAAATTATTTTTTATCGAAACCCAACTATGTAATTACAGTACATTAGTTTTTTTTAACCAATGTAGACGAATGTACGAGTATCTTATAGAATCAGTAAATAACGTAGGCAACAATTTTTATAAAAAAAAAAATAGTGTACACAATGTAATTTTACTTTATTAAAAAATATGATGCAATAATGCATATATATTAAACTTTTTTAATACTTATTGTACTTGATTTTTAAGGCTAAATAGAATAAGTTAAATTTTTGTAGGTTTAAAGGGTGTACAATAAAATAGGTAAGGTTCAGACCTCCAAACCCTAGGTTTTTTAGAAAGCTTACTAAAAGCTCTACACGATAAMGTAATAACATAGAGTGTGTTGAGGCATAAAAGCCTCAAATACACTTACTTGAAAAAAAAAAAAAAGAAACATAAAAAGACTGGATACGGAAATATCAGCCATCAGCCCTCAGACATGAGCCAGCGTTGTTACGAGACAAATGCACTGATCGATTAATTGTTCTCAACAAAAGAAAAATTGCTTCAAAACCTCCAGTCAATTCGTTCGCGCCATAAAGTTAGCAAGGATTTGAACGCCAGTCTTATTATCCCATGTCAAAATGGTTGGAACGTTGCATCTTCAAAACTATACCTCAAAGAAACATGTGATTGTAGACTTAACTGTACAGACTGCAAAATTTGTATGCTTAGATATTGCTGTTCCTGTATTGACTGTTCGGTAAAATACAGTATGTGTAAGCATATTCATCTGTTATGTACACATATGAATCAAAGAAGTGGACCAGCCAAAAGTACAACACCAGGTAATGCTCGTGTAAATGCTACTTATTTGTTACAAATCAATTAATAGGTCATTGAAATATTTTGTTTATTAATTATTTTCTGCATTTTAACTATGTAGAATGTTCATTCCACATTCGCAGTGATGACTTGGACTTGGAGATATTCGAGTACCTTTAACGCTGGTAACTGCTTTTATAAAAGCCATGTAATTGCATATTTAAATACTTTAATATTTTTATTTAGTTGCTTGGTGGTGAAAGATTAGGTGGCGGTTTTGTTACCAAAATCCTAACTCCTGTCGTGTACAACCTCAAAAATGAATCCTCGGGACAAATCTTAAAAAAAAATTCACACAAAGGGCCTTAAACCCGCATAGTCTGTTACAGCACGATGTGAAGTAAAGCGCCTAAAACGCCACTACCTAGCTCCCTAGAAGCTAAACTCTTCGAGTGGTTCGGGGCATCTCCAGGAAATCCGATCCTGGAGCTATATACGTCTCCGCTACCCTAGCTACTTTCCCCGCTGCCGCCAACACCGTCACCAGTCCGGGCCTAGGAAATCCGAGAGGCGCTAGTCCGGAAGATGGGAGCAAGCCCAATATTGGCCAGTCCGACTGCCTGGTTGGAGTCCCCCAAGACTCCAACAGCCTTCTCGCCAGTGCCGGTCTCCCCGGTGACTCCAGGCAATTGTAACGAAGCGTTTGGGAATTTCCATTGTAAACGTCAAACCTCATGAGCTTGCGTGGTCCATGGGTATCCCCCCACTGAATTCGACCGTGTTTGTTTACGTCCGAACCAAATAAAAGGCGAACGCGATTTACAATCCGACACTCACTTGCCGCGCAATACAACCGGTAAATTAGGCTCGAGGTCCGCTTCAGGTGTCACTGCGAAATATTACTAGCGTATCCTAACCGTTCCGATCCCGTGGCTGCTGCAAAATAGTGCCAGCTGACCATCTCCGACCGAAACCACGTGGACCGTTGCGAAATAATACCGACGGCCCCTCCGACCGAATTGTAAATAATTGTGTATATATAAGGATAGTGAATAAGTTTTATGTGAACATACATTTTATTTTAATAAAACACATTTTAATTTATCCGACTCTCTCTCTATTAAGTCCCCGACGAACCCTACAGTCAACCGAGTACCCGGAAAAGAAAGCATTGTAACGTAGTTACTAAAATTAGCCCCCGAGGATACGCAACCAACCATACAAGCCGTGTCCCTCCGAAGCCGACCTGTCTCTACCCGGTTAAGACCTTTTCAAGCCGACCCGACTATACCTGCAGGTGGTGCCCCATCAGAATCGAATCGCGCACCTGCAGCCGGGCACTCTATAAAGCCAAGCCGAGAAGGAAAATAAAGCCAGTCTTCGCCGAGTCCTAGTTCCAGCTCCAGCTGCAGCGACCAGTAGTGACCAGTAGTGAGAACAGTACCGGAAGTGAAAGTGACCGAGTGCCCCAAAAAGGATTACCGGAACCGAACCGGAGATGATTGTAGTGTTATGGTTGTAATAATTCAGTAGCAACAAGATTATTAGAAAATAAAGAGACCTTACTGTTACAGTGGATCAATCTTTCTTTGCGACGTTAGGGTAAATCATCGCCTAACAAAATCACAATATTCGGTTTGTGATAGATTGTCAAAGCGCCATGATGCGGATTCTATTGCACAATGGCTGCGTATGTGGATTCGAGATGGAGCAGCTACTCCCAAAGAAGTAGTTTGTGACAAGTCATTAGCATTGTTGTCGAGAATTGCTAAATCATTTGGACACATGAACAGTATAACAACATACATTAATCATTGTTACAATATTGTTTTTAATCATCAAAATTACATCCCAAAAACTTTTATAATGTGTGATGAAGCCAACTTCATAAAAAATCTAAAATGCTTGAAGAGACAAATACTGGTCATTTTTATTGTTGCACAGAGTGAAACAGAAGAAAATGGTTGAAAAAACTAATAGCAGACGGAAGTAAATCAACACGAAAAAAGTAATTTTGCATTTGACAAGTGATGATGCAGAAACAAATGAATCTATAGAAAATAATGATAGATATTATCTTGATATTATCAATAATCATCAGATTCCTTATTTAAAACATGCGGTAAATATATTTTGGAAGAACCTAAATTATATTTATCTTTGGAGGGAAACCGAGACAACATGCAGTATCTTCCGGAAATTATACCAGACGTATTAAGATTTATATGCTATTTGCCTTTATGGTCTTCAGTAATGACATCTATTTTTCCTAACAGTGGAAGTATTGCTTCAAGTGCTCCAGTAGAAAGTAATTTTAGAGGTATAAAAACCAGAATATTCCGCAAAGTTCAGCTTCCTCCTCGGATTCATGAATTTTTGAAAGTCCACATTGAAACTTCATAAGAAGATGTACCCACCTCTATTAAATTCTAAAAACAAGGACAGCATGTTAGAATAGAAAGACGCAAAGGATATTTTCCTTAAATGTTCTCATAAAAATAAAAACGAGTTAAACTCATCAATACCCAAAGAAGGAGACGATGCTCTTTGTTAGAGAAAACTCATAAAAACTCCAAAGAAATGGAAAGAACCAAATGCGATCAAATTAAGAATAATGAAAACGACGAGGCAATGAAAGACGAAGAAGATAAGAGCAGTTGAAAACTAGAAAGGTGCAACTAAACCTAAACGTCCACGAAGATCTTATTTGGAAAATCAGAAAGAATTATTTGTTATTATGGAACTTTCGGCACGGAAAATACAATTCGCGTATCCTTAATGGAAAATGGAAACTCTTCTCCACTAAGAACAGTCACAATTTATAAAAAAAAGTTTATGTTTACCAATACGTGTAGATTTGATGCACTTCAAATATTGTGAAATGTTGTCTTCTTGTTACTGTGACTTCCCCGCATTTAGAGAAGATGTTGCTAGTGATAGTTTTCCGGCAGAGCTTTTAAAGAATGTGGTCAAGGAAAAAATATCCAGACATAATAAGAGCTAACATTTTGTAACAAAGTTTTGAAAAAGTCCTCAAACCCAAGAGTCTGACAGAAATTCCTTGTGTATACACACAGCAATTACTAATAGACAGATTAGCTACGTACTAATAATTTACTCGTACTAATAATTTCCTAAAATGGACCAGCTCAATAGCTGATAAATTCTCTGTTGGCAACAATGACTTGATAGTAGTACGTTTCTTAGCAACGCTAACTAGGCAAATTCAAATTTTGATTTTTGAAGGCCGTTTTCGGCCAAATTGAGTCAATTGGCGAATCGACAAAAATGTCGATAAGATAG